ACTAGTTGAGATGAAAATTTTTATTGTCAGTGACTTGTGGACTTGCTTTTGATGATTCAATATAGTAATTATTGACACTACTACACGATAATAAATAAAAAAAATAGTTTAACAACAACAATAATAATAAAATAATATACAAATATAAAAATTCAAAAATTAATATTTTTATATTATATCAAGAAAAAAAATATCTATACATTTTCGTTAAAAACAGGTTTTTCATTGTTCTCAATCATTTTTAACATTAATTTCTTGGTCTAAAAAAAATTTTCGTCTTTTGGACTTGGAAATTTTTCCTAATTAATTAAGCGGGTGATCCACTTTTTAAAAAAATGTCAAAAAAATTTATGTTAAAAACACGTTTTTCATTGTTCTAAATCATTTTAGGCATTAATTTTTTGTTGCAAAAAATTTTTTAGACTTGGACTTAGAAATTTTTGCTAATGAAACTAGGAAGCCCAGGTAGGTCCTGGGTTGGACCTGGGTGGGTCAGCCCACATTCGAATTGCAATATCTCTTAGTGTTTAGCACCAACTTAAACGAAACTTAAAATCAGCGAACGAAATTAGAAATATATTTTACTAATGATAATTATATTGCAGTCTGTATCTGTTTAAATAAATAAATAAATTTTGCTGTTTTATTAACTTTTGTAACAAATTACTTAAAAATTTGCAGTTTTTTATCTAACTTCGCGATTATTACACTTGAGTAGTGAAATATGAAGATAATTTATAATTTTAACAATTCAGCATTTGTTTAAACAAAAAATTGTTGTTATTTATTAATTCTTAAGACAATAAAGCGTCTAGACACTTGTAGTCTTTTAAAATTTTGCAATTAACTAATCTGAGTATTTACTTATTGCAAAATTAGAAAAAACTGCTAGTTTCTAGGTTGATTGTGTAAAAATTTAGTAAATAACAATTATTTGTTTAAAAAATTGCTGAATTAATAAATTAATAAATTAACTTTATTTTATAGTATTTGTATAATTTTCTGATTTATGTCAAACAATAAATTGTTTAAACAAATATGATTATCAATTAATTTTATAAATATTAATTGAGAATATTTATCAATTTTTACATGTTTTTCATGTATTAATTTTGACACTTTATTTTCCTAAAAATTTTTCTAAGTCATAACTGGATCTCCTAGCTAGTACCAAGTTAGGACCAGCCCAGGATATATAAAAAGGGGTTGCCAAGTTAGGTCCAAGCTAGGGCCAATAATCATTTTAGGCATAGCATGGTGATTTCTACACGGGTACCAATAAAATTTTTTAATTTTTTCTATTTCTTTGATATAATTTGTACTCGTTTATAATCTTTAAAATTTTATTACTTATAACAAATATTTATTATAGAGAATATATTGTTGAACTTGGCGGAATTTTTGCTTTTGTTAATAATAATACAAATAATTTATATAAAAGTTTTTAAACAAAAAGATAAGAGAATATTTTTTACAATTTTTCGCCTTTAGATCATCAATAATTTCGTATAATTTCTGGTCGTATTAGGTAGAAAAATAGGTCATTCGAAGCGATTTTCAAGACTCTGCAAATTAGTTATACGACTTTAAAAATAATTCTTACATTTTTTAACAAAATTTTTAAAAATAAGACTTTAAACTAATATTTAACAAATATTACTTATTCACAAAAAAATAAAAAATTGTAATTTTGATTTATATGCAACTTTTAATTCTTCAAATTTTAGAAATTAAATTCTTTATCCTTCTAATTAGTAGGTACTCTTATTTAAAGTTTTAAATTAAAAAAAATAAAATATTTTTAAGAAAAACAAATTTATCGCTTCATTAAATATAAAGACTTAGGTAATTAAACAGAAGAGTCATCTATTTTTTCAACATGTTCGGTTAAATAGTTTCTCAAGAAAAGTAAAAGTAGCTATTCTTTGCTGCTTCTATTTTAAAATTAAAATTTTATTATCATTACTAAAAAACCAAGTTCCAGAAAAAATTTTATTTAAATCAAAACAAAATCCAATTTAAATAAAAAGAATCATGATTTTTAACAGCTCTGATTAAGATTGATGCCTATAATGAAAACTTTTTTTAAAATAAATTTATATGTTTAAAATCCGCAACGTTTTCGCAGTTTTAAAAAAGAAAACGAAAAAATAATTAGAAAATATTTATTTTAACAGATTTCAATTTAGAGAGATTTAAATTTTAATTTATAAAACATGAAGATATCGATTTATATATAATAATTAAAACTTGGTACTTTGTTACTAAAACGTCTTCAAAAATTATTTTCATCATTATGATTATTCATTTCTAGAATTTCCAAATAAAACTCTTTTTTAAGTCAATTTTTTAAAAAGTTAATTGAGAATTTTCAAAATCCTTTGGTTTACAATTTAATTTTACGAAATTTCGATTATTCTGACATTTTTCAATTAAATATATTAGAAATTCAAAACTACAAAGAATTAAAAAAAATTCTATTAAACTTTTTGCAAAAACTTAATTCTATAGAATTCTTAATTAAAAGTATGAAAAGTTCAAATTTTTAAAGATTTGAATTTGAAATCTTTTGAAAAATCAATTATTTCTAAAAATCCACGTTATAAATATTAATTAGAAAATTCTAGAAGAATTTAATTATTTAACTATAAAAATAAATATTTTATTAAATAATTGAATGTTCCTTAAAATTGAATTTTCATAAAGAATTTTATCAAAAAATTTTTAAACAATTGAATTCTTCTGTGATATTTTATTGAAATAGTAGACATTGAAAATAATTGAATTTAGACAAATTTTTGAAATTAATTTCTACGAAGAAATATGTATTAAAATTATTTTAAAGAAAATTGAATTGTTACAAAGAATTTCATTAAAATTTTTGAAAATAATTTAATTCTTTGAAGAAATTCAATTAAAAATGTTTTTAAAATAATACTTAAATTGTAATAAATAAATTGGAACAAAGGGTTTTAAAATAATTGAAAGTCTGCGATAAGTTTTATTATGTATTTATGAAAATAATAATTGAATCCCTATATAAAAAATGTTATTCTTTATGAAAATGATTCAATAATAATTTATGAAAATAATTTGTAAATAATTATATTTCAGTTAAATTTTTATTAAATTTCTGAAAAGAATTATATTTAGCTTTTTTTAAATAATTGAATTCTCGTTAAGGGCATTTGGACCATTATGACGTCAAAGTTTTGCAAAGCATGTGTTCTAAAGTGTGACGTCATCATGGTTCAAAATGCCCAATAAGGAAAATAATTGAATTCTTGTGAATAATTAAAGAAAGAATTTATCAATTTTTTAAAAAATAATTGAATTTTCGAGAAGAATTTTATTATTTATGAAAATAATTGAATACTTGCGAAGAATTTTATAAAAAAATTTGTAAACAATTAAATTCCTGTAAAATTGTTATTATTGATGAAACTAATTAAATAATTGCGTAGAATTTTATTCAATTCTTTTTGAATAATTGAATTTTCGTGAGAAATTTTATTATTTCGAAAAATAATTGAATAATTGTGAAGAATTAAAGAAAGAATTCAAAAATTTTTAAATTTTTAAAAAAATAATTGTATTTTTGAGAAAAACTTTATTTAATTTTTTTTTAAATAATTAAATTCTTGTGAAAAATTTTATTATTTGTGAAAATAATTGAATTCTTGTGAATAATTAAAGAAAGAATTTATCAATTTTTTTCAAACTAATTGAATTTCCGCGAAGAATTGTATTATTTATGAAACTAATTAAATGATTGCGTAGAATCTAATTCAATTCTTTTTGAATAATAAATTGAATTCTCGTAAAAAATTTTAATATTTGGGAAAATAATTGAATAATTTTGAAGAATTAAAGAAAAAATTTATAAATTTTTTAAAAAGTAATTGAATTTCTGAGAAGAATTTTATTTAATTTTTTTTAAATAATTGAATTCTCGTAAGAAATTTTATTATTTGGGAAAAAAATTCAATTATTCTTGTGAAGAATTAAAAAAAGAATTTCTCAATTTTTTAAAAAATAATTGAATTTTCGAGAAGAATTTTATTATTTATGAAAATAATTGAATTCTTGAGAAGAATTTTATAAAAAATTTGTAAATAATTGAATTCTCGTAAAATTTTCATTATTTACATACGAAACTAATTAAATGTTTGCGTAAAATTAAAAAAAAAAATTTTTTTTATTAAAGTAGTAGATATTAAAAATTATTGAATTGAGGAAAGTTTTTGAAAATAATTAAAATTTTGACAAGAATTTTATTAAAATTTTTGAAAATAATTGAATTTTTTAGAAGAATTTTATTACTTTTGAAAATAATTGCATTTTTGCAATCATATATAATTGCTTCAAAATCCAATTTCTTTTAGTGTTTTTAACCAAAATCCTTCTATAAATTCATTATATTTCATAATTAATTAAATATTAAATTAATTATAATTTAATTTTAAAATTGAATTAATTTTGAAATATTTAAAAAGTAAAATAAAATTAGATTTCAAAAATAAACGCACAATAACTTTAGAAAACAACAATTTTCCAGGATTTCGATCAAAATTCCCTGAAACCATTCAAGGCTAAGATTCAGTAAAAAATATTTCAAATGTAAACGATTATATTTAATCAAAAGGGGACTAAAGAAAGATTCGTTTTTTAAATTGAACTTTTTGGAGTTGTTAGTGATAAAAATGACTCTTATTTTTCTATTTTCATTCACGTGGAATTCTAAAATTTTCCACTAATGATCTTTGAAAAAGAATTTTGTTTTTTGATCACAGTTTTTCTAAGGACATCAAATTGAGACATGAAACATATCAAAAGGGTTGCGAAGCAGCATTTTGTTCCTTTTTTTTTGCCTCAATTTGATTTATTTTGTATTTTTTAATTTTTTGTATTTATTTTTGGATTTTGTATTTTGTATTTTTGTATTTTGTCGACGCTAAACTTTAGAATATAAATTAATTTCTTCAAAATAGAAAATTTACCTTAAAGCTCGTAGTGTGGTCTTCATTTCGTCGATCTTGAAAGAAATTTTCCGCTATAATTTATCCATTTGATATTTAAAAAAAAGTAAAAGCACTCTTCACTAAACACAAAAACACAATTTTGCAAATAATTTTAATAATATAAAGTCAAAAATTAAATAGAGAACTCGTCCCTATTCAACTGTACAACAGAAACTGAAATCGCTCTCCTTGCTCACAAAATCTTTTGCCAGCCGATAAACACTTGATTAGTCATCACTTTTCATTATCTTGATATTTATTACAATATACAATACTTTCAGTTATAACAAGATATAGACATCAGTAGCAAAGGAATTGTCTCATTTGACAATATATCGAAAAATATAGCATCGACATGCTGTTTTCTTGTTTAGAATATTTCTCACTATAATGTTCAGTATTAGCAAGAAAAAATATATTCAAAAATTATTCACACTTTCCGCATAGGATTTTTTTCTATTAGGAATAAAATCTTTATCAAGATTGAATCAAGCTTAATTTCTTGAAATTTAGATTTCATATATATATTAGGAATATTTTGAAATAGAAAATCAAATTATGAGATTTTATCTCATATAATACACATGCGCGCATCATCATTCTTCCCGCGGTTCTCGCTCAACACGTGCTTTTCATTCCGGTTCCAGGACAATTGTTTGCACCAAAAAGAAAAATGGTCCAAAATAGAATTATTATTGAAATGAGGAAAAATGAACAGAATTCAACTGATGAAATATTTTTGCTTTTTTCAAGTAAAAAAAAACAAATTGGTAGTCCTGAATCCTGCCGGCATTAGAGACAGGATGTAAAGTGTTTGAGGTCCAGGGAATTGAACTGGTTTCGAAGAAGACTTTAAAATGTTGGTGTGAGAAAGACAGAGATGGAAGAAATATATAGACTCGTGGAGTATTGGTCCCGTTCTTCGGACAGTCGGACGGACAGACGAAGGTGGGAGGAAGTGAGAGAGAAAGAGAGAAAATGAGAAAGAGAGAGAGAGAAAAAGAGAGTAGAGACGGGATTATACACTAGCAAACGCAATGTACTGTTACTTGACGAAGCCTTCGGGGGCCCACCGACTTGTGGATGCAGACAGACCTTAGAGAATGGAGTTGCATATATAGCTAGCGAAAATCATCCACTCTGTTTCCCTCGAACCTGGCTTCACGGGCAACTGGTCCCGGTAGCGGAAACGCAAATTGGTCCAACGAATCCCCCATACACTTTCAATCAACAATATTTTCAATTTAAAAAAAAAAAAATTATTTTCCATTCCAAAAAAATCTAATTTTCTTTCTATTTACATATTTATCCCCCCCCCCTCTTCTATTTTTTCATTATTTTCAAAAACACATGAGTGACAACTCACTGTATAATTTTCACACAAATAGAAAATAATTCCAAAATATTCTTTTTTCAATGATAAATTCAACAATTTAAATATATATGTGACAACACGTGCTTTTTAGAAAAATAGAAATTTTATTTCCAAGGGATTTTTAATGTTTCTTTTTTTATTTATTTTTTATTAATATTGACAAAACGGTCCGGGATCGGATTTGAATATTGACTTTTTTTATGAGTTGAAAATCCATTTTTTTTTACAAAATAAAAATGAAAGCAAAGCTCGAGACAAAATGTATGTGCACTCCGTTCAATGTTCGCGGCTCGACTGGATAGACAGCCCACCTCCACACGGCGGAGCTGTCTTGCTCATTGCCGTGTCAGCCGATTCAGGGTCCCAGTGTGTTAGTTTATGCTTGTCGAGAGAGAATCATTGAAATGAGGAAAATCTTAAATTAAGACCAAAGGTGAGCTTTATTTTGCGATGGTAAAAAAAAGGTGAATTTTTGGGTTTAAAATTAAAAGAGGGTAAAAAATTTAGGGGTTAAAATAGCATTGGGTGTAAGATTTTTCATAGTTAATAAGTCTACTCCGAAAGTGAGTTTTATACAGGAGTGCTCTATCAGGTCAAGATTTTTTTATAAATTGCAAATTTAAACGAATATATAAAATTTTTTAAAAGTAATTTTCTTTTCAAAATAAACATTGGAAAAATGATATTTTCAGGGCTAGGATCGTCTTTAAGACTGAAAAAAGTCGCTTTAGTCGCATAAATTTACAACAAAAGTCACAAAAAGAGTTGCATAAAATTTCCAAAAAAAAGTCGCATGAAATTTTAGAAAAAACGACAAAAAGGAAACACGAAATTGTCAACATTGTAAAAAAAATCACATTTCTCAACAACAGATACATTAATATCAAACAATCCGATATAAAATTTAAAAAAATTAAATAAAATTCATATAGCAAAATTTTAATTAGTTTTTTTAACATTTTTTTTTAAATTCTCTTTAAAATGTCAATAATTTTTAAAAATAATGAAATTCTTCTTTGAAATTCAATTATTTAAAAAAAAAATTTACTAAAATTCTTCGCAGAAATTCAATTATTTTCAAAAACTTTTTTAAATTTTTCCTCAAAATTTTATAAATAATAAAATTCATCATAAAAATGTAATTGTTTTCAAAAGTTCTGATAAAATTCTTTGCAAAATTCAATTATCTTCAAAACTAAGAAAATTCTTTACAGAAATTCAATTATTTTCAAAATTTTTTTTTTAAATTCTCCTCAAAATTTCAATTATGTTTATAAATATCAAAATTCAATTACTTTTAAACATTTAAAAAAAAATCTGTTAAAGATTTCAATTATCTATTTGTGAATAAGAAAATTCTTCTCTGAAATTCAATTATTTGCAAAGAATTTTAATAAAATTCTTGTCAAAATTTCAATTATCTTTACAAATAATAAAATTCATCGTAGAAATTCAATTATTTTCAATTATTACTAAAATTCTTCTCAAGAAATTCAATTATTTTGAAAAATTTTGATTAAATTAATGATAAGAATTGAATTATTTTTAATACAAAATTTTAATTAAATTTCATTGAAAAAATTGAATTACTTTCAAAAATTTTAAATCAATTCTCTACAAGATTTCAATTATTTTTATAATTAACAAAATTTTCTTCGCCGAAGTTTAATTATTTTAAGGAATTTTAATAAAATTCTTCGTAAAAATTTAATTCAATTTTTGACGGGAAATAAATTTTTTTTTTAATTATTAATAAAAATTTTTGTAAGAATTCAATTATTTTCATAATTTTTAATAAAATTTTCCACAAAAATTCAATTATTTTCAAAAGTAATAAAATTCTTCGCAGAAATTCAATTATTTTCAAATTTTTTTTTTTTTAAATTCTCTTTAAAATTTCAATTATCTTTGAAAATATCAACATTCTTCTACAAAATTCAATTACTTATTAATGTTTTATAAATTTCTTCCTAATAATTCAATTATTTGGATAAAAATTTTTTTTTTGATAAAGTCTTATAATATTAATTAATGATTTTATCACTCGGTTATCTTTAATTATTATAAAACATGAAGACATCGATTGCTCCGAGTCGAAGATTTCTAGTGTTAATTTAATAGAGGGATTAAACTGTTGCAGATTATTTTAATCCATTCCGGTGTTATTTTAACACCTCAAGATTTACTGTGGGGTCAAATTTTCTCAAAAAAATCAAAGTTGGTCATGGGTCTTTCAATTTTTGTAAAACTTGGTATAAATGTAGTGTTTTATGACAGAAGATTTTAGGAAAAAAATTATTTTAAAAATTTTCAAAATTGTGGATTTTACCGGGCATTAAACATTAAAGTACATTTTTTTAAAAAACGAATAACTTTTATACATTTAGTTAGATTTTGTTTATATCTTAGGTAAATAATAGTTGATTATCTAAGAATTTAAAGTGAAATATTAAAAAAAAAATGCAAAATTTGCTCGGAAAAAAAGTCAAAAAAAATTTTTATTTTATTTTTTCGGGCATGAGCACCCCTTTGATTTTTTTATAACTATAATATTTTGATTCGTTATCTTCTCTAGAATTTTCAGCAAAAAAAATCCCTGGAGACTTTAAAACTAACCGAAATATCGAATTTTTTGTCTCGAGGTGCACAGATATCGATCTCGCGTAAACACGCCTGAGATATGCACCAAACGTTCTTAAGCATGAATTTTCGCATTCTAATTTTTTATTGTTAATTTTTAGTAAAAAAGGAAGGTTTAAAAATCAAGTTTTGCAATTATAAATTTGTTTTTAAACAATTTTCAATCTCAAAAAGTGTATATTGATTTTTTTTAAAAAAGGTCTCTTTTTTTCTTTTTTTGTACCAAAAGAAAGCTTAAGATGTGTACTTTCAATATGTGAAACGAAAAAATGCTGTTTTTCTTGTTTTTGAATTATTAATTAATTAATTAATAAAAATTGAAATTTTTTACAACAAAATAAAGTTAACGCAATTCTGAAGTAACTACTGTAAAGCATTACAAAATCCGCATCCAACGAGCCCAATATGAAGTATTTTGGATAAATTGACGCCTTATAAATAAATATTTATAAAAATTAATTAACAAATGAATATCATTTATAAAAATAAAGATAAAGTGTTAGTTCTTTTTTTAAACAAATGTTTATACAATTCTACTTTTAAAAAAATATGTATTCCTGTTATTTGCAACGATTGTTTAAATAAAATATTCAACACCTTATTCGTGTATCACGCTTGATATTGATATTAAAATTTTTACGCGAGATCAATATCTGTGCACCTCAAGACAAAAAATTCGATTTTTCGGCTAGTTTTAAAGTCTCCAGGGATTTTTTTGCTAAAAATTCTAGAGTAAATAACGAATCCAAATATTATAGTTCCAAAAAAATCAAAGGGGTGCTTATGCCCGAAAAAATGAAATTAAAATTTTTTTTGACATTTTTCCCGGGCAAATTTTGCATTTTTTTTTAATATTGCACTTTAAATTGTTAGATAATCAACTATTATTTACCTAAAATATAAACAAAATCTAACTAAATGGATAAAAGTTATTTGTTTCTCAAAAAAATGTACTTTAATGTTTAATGCCCGGTAAAATCCACAATTTTGAAAATTTTTACAAATCTTTTTTTATTAAATTTTTCTGTCATAAAACACTACCTTTATACCAAGTTTCACAAAAATTGAAAGACCCATGACCAACTTTGATTTTTTTGAGAAAATTTGACCCTCTGGTATTACATGCAATTTCATTGGATTACTTTTTGTAGAGGTAGATTAAAATAAAAAAAGACTTTCCTCGAAAACCCATACGATAATATTATTTTAAATAAGTACATAATTACCTCATGATCATTCAAACCTGAAACTACCTCTTCGGCTGCAACCCCTGTATTAGACATCAATTTCTTCGCACATAAAACAAAGTTATATTGATAAATCAATCCTTTTTTTATAAATAAATGAGAATAACAAAAATATTAAAAAGAAAGTCATTTGCCCATAAAAGATGTTTTGCTAATAAAAGCAGCTGTTACAACTTGCCCCTTTGCTACGGTTGGTTGCAAAAGTAATTATGTACATATTTAATTAATTTTAAATTTACTGGTCGAATTTCCTTAAGTTTTAACTCTTACTATTATTTTTAATCAGACGTTAGGAAACAATAATAAATTTATTTAGATAAAAAGTATTTTCTAATAAAATAGTTCAAAATTTCCTTTCATTAAGATTACAGACGGTAGTCCACATGTCGGTTCCATTATAGAAGAGAAAACTGATTTTAAGGTCATGTTATTTAGTGGTCACGTACCCCATATATACCATTATTACTATGGAAACACGTGACCACTAAGTAACATGTCCTTATAATATCGTTAATGTTAACCTAAACCATTTTGTATTATAAAAATGTTATAATTATAGTTTTCATTAAAATACAATATTTAATTCTTTAAAATGATGAAAATTAAATTTTTTAATTTTCAACTAAAACAAATTTGAAATGAAGTTTCTTTTATTCATTTAAAATGCAAAATGTAATTGAACTAACTTTTGTTAATTCCGATTGATTGTTTGTTGGATTCTTTCTTAAGACCTGGTTTTTACAGTTTTCTTATTGTCTCATATACGCTGAGAAAAAAGATTCTGTTGTTTTAAAAAACTTTTTCTTTGACTTTCATTTATTTAATTAGAAGAATGATTTCTTTTCTATAATGGAATCCTGATTTAATCAATGAGGCCTTCATTTAATCAATGAAATAGTGAATTAATTCATTTTGGGAAAATCGAATTAATTCACTAAATGAAAAAGTTTAATGTATATTGTTAAAACAACTAAATTATACTACTTTATTAGTGAAAAAGTTTGGTATAAATTTAAAAATTTAATATAATTTATAATCGAAATAATATATTTACTTTATTTTAATAAATGCAACACACTCTGGAGAAAGGTACCTTAGAAGCAAATTCTTCTAAGGTTATGTTTGTTATTTTTATTTAAATTAACAATTTTTGTTAAATTGTGCTAAAAAATAATTAATTACTGCTTGAATGATCCATTTCTTGTTTTATTTACAGAGCGGAAGACTTCTAACTAAGAGAACAGGTAAAGAAAATCAATGAACAGGTCTTGGGTCAAGAATTCTTTTATTGATTATTTGTCACAATGAAAGGGCAACCCTCTTTTCTTGAAAATTAGCAGGTCTTCTTTCGTGAATTGATCTGTTTTTTTCACTGTAAGTAGAAACAAGCCATTAAT